TAAATCGCCCCAGAAAGGCGTTCCTCTCGGCATGTGTTCCCCGGTCACCCACATCCATTCCCCCTCTACCGTATGGTCGTTTCCGCCCACCCACACATTCCTTGTTTTTGCAATGCCTGAAAGTGGAAACAGTACTGTCATCGTCACTTTTGTTGAACCTTGGTGTAGCAGATATATAAGCATCTCTGTATTGAAATGACTCCCCATAAGCAAATGAATGAACGAAGTGCCAGGAAGGGAGGTAGAAAGTGACTTGCCTGAAGCTTTAATGTATCCAAGAGCATGTGCGAATGCATTGACGTCTCGGAACACGGCCAAATGTCCTCCCAAGTCTTCACAGAAGAGCAGAGCTTCTTCCCAATTTATTCCGACGTCCTTAGCAAGATACAGATAAGTTTCTCCGAAGTTTCTGAAGTTGCCTGGACAGGATATTCCTGCACATGGTAATACGTTAGTACCGCACCCCACCAATAGTAAATTCACACAGGATTTCATCACATTGGTGCGTGCTAGGTAACACCGACTCAATAGGTTCCTAGGATAATGTTTGTCTGTTACCTGTAGACGTGTTGTTTCGTGTCAAGGAACCTTTGATATCAGCCAAGAGGTCCGCCATCTCCCTCAGGATCCCTGCAGACTCTTGCTCGGCCTGCTTCAGTTCTTTCAGTTGGATTTCTTGGCGCAGCAAAAGAAGGTCTGTGAGACTCTGTAGCCGGGAAGCAACATTGTTACCCAAGCAAACACATGGGCGTTTGGATAAATAAAAATGCCGGTGGCTGAAAAACGACACTTTGGCCATACAAATAAAGTATCTTTTATAGGGAAAAAAACGTTATATGATTTGATATGAAACAGATATGCTTCAAGCCGAGATTTTGACTCGAAACTTATTTTGAATATTTTGTTGCCAAACTCATTTTCTGGCAGACCTCTAGCTTCCCTCTCCAAATTCCAAGCAATTGGAACTCTCGTATTTGCATACATTGTATATACATTGGCAGACTTTGTCTCATTCTTCCATGCTCAGTGAATATACCTGAGTATAATTAGGATGAAATGGCGGAAAATGTCCATCGTAAAGGTCGCTCCCACTGTTTTCCTCCAGCGCCCACGCCGTCACTGCGACCATCCAAAGGACTGAAACAGTAAGACGCATCTGCCAACAAGACGATTATTAGTGAACATATCAGACATTTTTTTTTTCCATGCAGTGTATCTATTCTCACATGTAGTTATCAACTTAAACTATTTGCACTCATCTAAATTCAACCTTCAGTCTCTGTGATACGAAGATGATGCGTGCATCTAAGTGACGACGAAAAGCAAGATCTAAGTAAGTTATTTTAACCTTGTTCGTACCTTTCAGAAAGCGAAAAGCAGGGCCTCTTCGTACGACTCACAAGGGAGGAACCGCACACACTGAAGTCGCTTCGATGCACTCAGTATTTATAACGTTGGTGTCTGTCCGTTTTTAATTATAATGGAGCAAGTCACTAGGGATATATGACTGAAGCAAATTAACATGACCTTGAACTAGTACCGCCACTTCACACGCGATAGGAGAGGCGAGTGAGCTCTACAGCTGCAGATGCCCTGTTTGTCATACTCGCCATGCAAAGAGATTGTTCTATAACTACATGGCACAGGTCACACCTGCTCTAGACTCGTACCTCAGCCCTGATGGAAATCCCGGCGGTATCTGTGAGCCCTAGGTCAAGTGCTCGCACCTAACTATAACACCTCGATCAAGTGGGATAGACAGCGTGGGCGGAGTCGCCTTCAACAGGGACTTCAAAGGCTGTGCCGCGCCAGATGGAGTCTGGCTTTTGATTCTTCCTCCTGAGTGCAATAAACCTAAAAGCTAGGATCCATTTATGTTTGAAGACCACTCACGTGTTATCAAAAACAACAACACTAATAAGGCAATTTTTCTAAACACTATTATATAAATATACATATATATATATATATATATATATATATATATATATATATATATATGTATATAGATATATATGTATATATACACACACGCGCACATATATGTATATATGCATGTATATGTATATATATTTATATATGAATATATATATGTATGCATATACAAGTATGTATATATATTCATGCACACACACACACACATATATGTAATGTATATATACATGTGTGTGTGTACGTGTGTGCATATATATAATCATATATATGTATATATATATATATATATATATATATATATATATATATATATATACATGCATCCACACACACACAAACATACACACACACATGTATAAACACACATGTATAAATACCTATATACATATGTCTGTACATATATATACATATATATATATGTGTGTGTTTGTGTGCGTATGTGTATAAATATATGTATATAACTATATATATGTATATAGATCATATACATGTATGTATATATATATATATATATATATGTTTATATATACACACACACATGCACACACATACACACATATATGTATATACATATATATATACATATATAAGAAAATCATACCACTCTCATGCCTATCATTTGTCAAGTGATTAAGCGCTGACCACCATGGTTGGGTGCGCCTGCCACCTCAGATAAGAATCCCAAACTGAAAAGCAGATCTTGGAACTGACAACAACAGACGTAAGTAAGTGGCCATATACTATGGCCACTTACCCATTATTGAGAAAGTAAGGTCCATCTACATATATATATATATATATGTATATATATATATATATATATATATATATATATATATATTTATACATGTGTATATATATATACATATATAGATACATATATACATATATATGCGTGTATATATATACATACACACACATCTATATATCTATTTGTATATTTATCTATTTATCCATCTATCTATCTATCTATATATATATCTACACACACACACACATATATATATGCGTGTGGGCGTTTGTGTGTGTGTGTGTGTATGTGTGTGTGTGTGTGGTGTACGTGTGTGTGTGTGTGTGGTGTACGTGTGTGTGTGTGTGTGTGTGTGTGTGTATGTGTGTGTGTGTGTATGTATGTGTGTGTATGTATGTATATGTTTATGCAGATATATTATATATAATATATATACATGTATGAACCGTATTCATGTTGACAAATGTATAAAAGGTATGAATATATATACATACATATGTATACATATATATATATATACATATGTATACATACATGAGTGTATATATATGTATATATATATGTATATATACACATGAATATGCATATACATATATGTGTATATATATGCATACACTTATACACACATACATATCGAAATCCTAGAGGACTCCGAAACTGTTCTTTCACTTTAAATATATCTAGTTTGCGCATATATATGTATATATATATATATATATATATATATATATATATATATATATATATATATATATGTATCTATATAGTCCTCCAGGATTTCTATATGTATGTGTGTATATATGTATGCATATATATATACGTGTATGTATTCATATGTATATATGTATATATACACATGTGTGTGTATATATATATACGTGTATGCATATATATGTATATATATATATATATATATATATATATATATATATATATATATATATATATATATATATGTATGTGTGTGTGTAGGTCTATATACATATACATATATATATACATATACATACATATACTTATAAATACATATTTATATATGTATAGGTATTTATACATATGCATATATATAATATACAATGCATATGTAATATATACATATATATAACATATATAAATATACATATAATACATATATATAAATATACGTATATATATTGACATTTCTAAAATCTGGAATGACACATCGGCGAGAACCGTGACCTCCAAAGCCTTGCCCCATTGTGAGTCGAAAGTTAGTTGGGGAAATAAGCCGTTGAGGTTTGAGAATGCCGAGGTGTGATTGACAGACCCGAAAGACGGGTGTGAAGCGATTTGGAAGTGGGCGCATTATTTTGGAACAGAACACTCAGTTGTAACTAAACCAGTTAATAATGTGCTTCATGGCATTCATTAATTTGCAAACCATGTGAAATATGTTAGTGAGAGAGAGAGAGAGGGGGGGGAGGGGAGGGAGGTCGGTCTTCAGGAATGAGTTCTGTCAAGTGTAATTAGCAAATTATTCACGTTTTTCTCTATACCCAAATGCTTCGTAAGCAAATAAACTGAATATTAAATTAAAATACTATTTAAAATATATAATTATGATATAAAAAGCCACACAGCGAAGAAAAAGTGTTACGAAGAGACAATAAAGTTATATTCATGAACACTAGTGTTTACATTTTATAGCCGTACCTAAAGAAATTCTTTCCGGAGGCAGCAAGATTCACCGAGCTTTAAAATAAGAAAGGAAAATGAAAGAATGAAATAGTGCCCAGGGAATATGAAGACTGCAAAAGTCAAAAGTCTAAATGAGAAGGCTCACATAATGAATGTTACTAGAATGCGAAAACCAAAGTTTTCCAACATTTGCTCATTTCTGTTGTTCAAAAGAAAACACATCGGTCTTCATGGAGACGCCCGTCACCGAGGAGTAATGAAAGATTTCGATGGGTAAATATATTAATCCCGTTTTATTTTGCGTGCATGCAATTAACCCATATTACTAGTTCAGTATCTGCTTTAAGAATAGTTTGTGATAACTTTACTTCATATTTTCTGATATGATTTTGGAGCAAGAAAAGTAATATGTACATACTGATTACTTAAGAAAGTGTTTATAGAAACATAATGTGCTTCATATTATGGAGCTTGATATGTGGTGTAGCCAGGTAAGAGCTAGGTAATATTTTTTGTGTCACTCCAGCCAACTTTGGGGACACTTGAGAAACTCAAACATTGCCATATGAACCAAAATCCTCCGTAACAAGGGGCTGTGCCTCTGTGTCCCAACCCACTCACCTTATTTCCCTATAGGAGGCTCTGCCTCTGCGTG